TCCAGCCTGTTATCTAAATATTGATGGCCCCAGTTTAATTGAGATTGAAGCGTCTTTTTTCTTTTCTTTCTTTTTTTTTTAATTTAACCTCAGAACTACTGCTTGTGTTGTTGTTGTTGAAATTGAATCTAGGACCTCTTGCCTCATAGTTTTCCCTGTCTTTAAACACTCTCCTACTACATGTTTCTGTTTGTTTTTCTTTCATGTCAGCATGCCATTCCGCAGACTATGCTGTTCTTGAACACCCGTGGAGTCGGGCTAGCCTTGCACTACAAGGCTGAATACCGAGACTCGAGGTGTACACCATCCCCTTGGCTTACATGTCTTTTTTGTTTGTTCTTTTTTTTTTTTCTTTTAAGACAGTTCACTCCACATAGCCATGGTTGTCCTGGAACTCTGTATAGACCAGGCTGACCCCAAATTCACAGAGGTCCACCTACCTCTGCTCCTGAATGCTAGGATGAAAAGCCTGCTCTGTTGTTTTTGTGCCTGTCTGAACTGTGAACCAAAGAGTGGTGGTACACATATGAACTACATATGTACTTAGAGCAGTGCACATAGGCACGTGAGGTTCTAATGAAGAAGTGGTGTCTTTCTCCTGACCCTAGTCCTGTAGACCTACCCTCCCCCACCCTTTGTCTCTGCTATGCTGTTTGGATTCTCTTCCCAGTTCTAAATGTGGGCCTTTGTCCTAGAAAGAAGCTGTGATTGGTTGGTTAGTTTTTGCAAGCTTACAGGGCTCTGGCTACTGCAGAACTGCAGATCTCATTGCAAACCCAGTGTGCTCTCCCATTAGGAAGTAGGCCAGAGCCCTTCTGGTTTCGGCTGCCTTTCTCAGATTGCCTGTCTAAGATTTCCATTCAGTAGCTATCACTTAACTGCTTTGGGGTTTTTAGGTCAGTTGGTGTCTCCAGTTCTTCTTTGTGCTTCCTCTTGCACCATTCTGATACCTTACAGGTCTTAAAGCTAGCTCATGCTTGCAATTTCATAGGTGCCATAGCACTTAGATTTTTAACACCTGTTCATAGGTTTCAGTTCTGCTGTCATAGTGTCTCAGTGTTTGTGGAAACATTTGGGTATTTCAAAAACTGCTGCTGTCATTTGTGTGTGTGTGTGTGTGTGTGTGTGTGTGTGTGTGTGTGTATGTGTGTATGTTTGTATATACATGTATGTATGTATGCATGTTTGTGTGTGTGTGTGCGCGTGCATGCGCGTATATATGTGCTGTGGTTCTGGGGATCACACTCAGGGCACTGTATGTGATAGACAAGTACTCTGCCACTAAGACACACCCCTGGGCTCCCCAGTATATAGTTTAACGATTTTAGACTTTTATGTAAATATCCTCACACTCCCTCGACAGTCCAAAATGCTCGTCTTAGGTTGTTTTCCAATTTACCCGCGATGAGCAGCTCTGTGAAACACTTCTAACAGATACCCATGATTATTCTTTAAGATTCCTTTTTAACCAGGTGGTGCACTCAGGAGGCAAAGGCGTGTGAAATTCTGTGAGTTCCAAGCCAGCCTGGTCTTCATAACAAGTTCCAGGCCAAACCAAGGCTACATAGCAAGACCTTGTCTCAAAAAAACAAATGAACTATTAGTTATTCTAAGTAAGCTTTGTGAAATACAGAATGATCAAAGGTTTATGGCTTTTAATGGAGCTTAACAAATTGCCTTGCAGAATGGCTATACCAACTAACAGTTGCTGGCAGTACACTTTCTTTTTTTTTTTTGTTTTGTTTTGTTTTTGTTTTTCGAGACAGGGTTTCTCTGTGTAGCCCTGGCTGTCCTGGAACTCACTCTGTAGACCAGGCTGGCCTCAAACTCAGAAATCCGCCTACCTCTGCCTCGCAAGTGCTGGGATTAAAGGCGTGCGCCACCACTGCCTTGCCTCAGTTATCTTTCGTATCACTTGCTAAATTGTATTTTGAGATGAGATCTCTCAGTTGAACCAAGGCTGGTCTCACATTCACTGAGATCCTCCTGCCTCTGCCTCACACATGCTCCACCACAGCCCTCTTCTTTTTCTGCTTTTTGAAATTCCATTTAGTTATGAGCTCTGGGTCAGACACAGTTGTATTCTCAAATCTTCAACAACTGTAATGGAATCCCAGCTTTTCTGCACTTCCACGTGCCGCCGTCCCCAGCACTGGTGTCTGAGGCATGCACGACTGTGCCTGGTTTGTGCAGAGCAGGGGACCAAACCCAGGGTCTTGTGTCCTGTCAGCTGAGCAGCACCTCTAGTCACAGTCATTTCATTAACCTTTGGCATTGGTAAGTACCTGGAGTAGATGCAAGATGCTAAATTTTTTCTTATCTTAAAGAAAATAGTAAGTACCGATCAAGTTATAAATAGAACAGAATTCTTAGTATTATAATTCTAAGAAGACCTTTAATCAGGTGGTGGTGGCATACACCTTTAATACCAAGTACTTAGGAGACAGAGGCAGACAGATCTCTGCAAATTGGAGGCCAGCCTGGTCTACAGAGCAAGTTCCAAGACTGCCAGGGCTACACAGAGAAACTCTATCTAAAAAAAATTGATATTAATGATAATAATAAAATTCTAAGCAGTCTTTTGTGGTTTTCCTGTTGTAGGCTGGGTCAGTACATGTAAGAATTCGACGAGATGCAAATGAGCAAATGGTCCTTGCTCATGTGACCAACAGGCTGTGCACACTGGTGTCCACTCTGACTGTTCAGATCTTCAAGGATGACTGGATTAGGCCTGCCTTATCATCTGGGCCTGTTGCGCCCAATGTCCTAAACTTCTCAGACCATCACGTAATCCCAATGCCTCTGTTAAAGAACACTGATGAGAGGACACCTGTCACATCAACACCAGCCAAGCCCAGCAGCCCACCTCCGGAGTTTGCATTTAATACGCCTGGGAAAAACGTGAGCCCAGTCATTCTACTGAACACACAGACAAGGCCATATAGTTTGGGCCTTAATCGTGGACACACACCATACAGCAGTGTGTTCAGCCAAGGACTTGCATTTCCAGGAGTTGGAGCAGGCCAGGGATTGAGGCCCACCTTCCCACATATACCAAGTAGGTATGGAGTCAACAGGATGGGACAGCCAAGACCTTGATGGACTCTAACTTATTGTCATGGAGATCGACTCCTTGCCTTCCAGTGTATTTAGTAATCCAACTTGCATTGACTGTTCAACCACTTACGTGTCAGATCACTCCAGGCCTGTTCATATTTCATAAAGCCTATAAACTTTATTTTTGTAAAATGTTCTTGTGGCAGTGAGGTCTTTGAAATGACATGGGTGTTAGGTCGGTCTCCTTCAAGAAGTGTGAATGTCAGCTGCTCTGTCGCCTCCTATGGTATGATATTCTGGCCTCCAATAGCAAAGCCATGTGGTGGGTGGATTTGCATCTTACTAAAAATTCATAATTCCTTCGGTAGAATTTATAAACATGCTTCATGTATGGTGCCCACCAAAGGAAATGAAAACTTAAGTGTCCATTTGAAAAGTAAAGCTCTTTTATAGCTTTTTAAAGCTTAATTGCTACATTTTTGGAGGTCCCCCCCCCCCCCCCGAGTCATTTGTTAAATAAAAAGTTAAAGTTTCTATTGGAAATTGTGAGGCATATTCTACTACATAGCACAACTTTATTATTATTGGTCTTTTGAAACAAGGTTTTGCTGCATAGACCAGGCTGGCTTTAAACCCATAATCCTCCTGCCTCAGTCTCCCACATGCTGGGATTTAGGTTTTGAGCCACCATAGAAGTATATCTTAAAATTTTAAGTAACAGGTTTTGAATAAAGAGGGGTTTTTTTGTTTGTTTGTTTGTTTTCATTTACAATTGTAATACATTTGTACACTACAATCAAACACTGAGAATAGAGGATGACTGTTTATAACTGTCGTCCATTGTTCCCAGGGTTTTATTTTGGTTACAAACACCAAACCTTTGGTAAATGGAATGAGGTTTAAAAAATCCCAGTTTTCTAGGTTACATTTAGTCAGCTGGCCAGTGTCCTACAATAACTGTGCTTCTGGTTTTGAATGAATAAGTTCATTATGTTATGTAATGAGCCAACGTGAAGGAATAAACAGCGAGAGAAAGGACGACACCAGCATCACTGATTGGGAACTCCCGACACTGATGATCGGGAATCATCCAACAGAAACCTCCTGGGAAGCCCCTTGAAGGCAGCCAGCTGCTTCCTGTAGTGTCCTGGACAGAGCAGAGTGTCTTCTAAGGAGACTTCCAAGTAAAAGAACAAATAGCAACAGAGATCAAGTCATCTATTCAGAGGCTCACGATGTCCTACAGAGACCAGTTGGGGAAGGTAAGTTGGCCAGCTAGTTCCCGACTGAGCTTTCTCTACACAGATGAGCTTCCCATGCCTGAGCGCGCAGCTTCAGTCTGCTCTGGGGCCTTTTGCTGTCATGAGGGAGACAGTAGCAACCTCTCTTGGATATGGCTCCCCTTCTAGCTACTCTCCGGAACATGGTTTAACTCTAGGGCTGTTTGTTGTTCTCTGATCTCCCTGTTCATGTTAGGGTGGCAGCCCATCCCCAGAGAGGGAACCTTGGAGGATGCTTTGAGACAAACACATTTGGGTGTGAACTGGGAGTAGGGCGACCCCACTTCCATGGCAGCTTCTGAGTGAGCTTAAATACCATCTATGGTAGTAAAGTTACAGAGCATACATTACATAAACTGACAATCACAGAATTTTATTTGGGGTTCATTTTAATAGACGTTTTAAATTTTTTCATTTTATGAGCACAACAATATCAAATATATATGTTTTTGTTTTGTTTTTTTTCGAGACAGGGTTTCTCTGTGTAGCCCTGGCTGTCCTGGAACTTACTCTGAAGACCAGGCTGGCCTTGAACTCAGAAATCCGCCTGCCTCTGCCTCCCAAGTGCTGGGATTAAAGGCGTGTGCCACCACTGCCTGGCATCAAATATATATTTTATTGTAGAACTGGACATTTTCGTCAAGATATTTTTAACAGACTTCATGACTGGACTAGGCAAAAGAATTTTATTCCAATCCTGGTATACTTGTATATCAAAGTTTGGTAGTCATGGGCACGGATGTCATTTATCTTCTCTGAGCTCTCTCATTTGTACAGTTAGGGAGGGGAAGGAATGAATTGATTTACAAATTATCTAAAATTTTACAATTAAATCTGTACAATATATGTCCAACTGCTAAGTAGTTCTATAACCAGAATTTTTTTAACATGACCACAATATACTCAGTTTTTTTTTTTTTTAACATGACCACAACATATAGACATATAGACCTACAGCAGCACCCTTGAGGAACCATGAGGCCAGAAGACAAACTGCAGGCTAACTTCATTCTAGGCGTTTTGCCCCCAGCTCTCCCAGATTCTTTGGATTTTTCCATCTTTAGACAAGAGAGGGTTTTTTTTGTTGTTAGACTTTATATGAAAGGTGGTTATTTTGGAAGGTGATAGACAAAAATATTAGAGCAGGGTATCCCTCATACAGTGGTGGGGTACAAAAGAATAAGAGACAGTTTTCCTTTCGACCTTGGTTTCGGAGGTCAAAGTTGGAATCACAGTGATCACATGAACTCCTGGAAGACATCCTGAGTTTGGAGCCTCTAATTAAGCAGCTTTTAAACTGCCAACTTTTGCTTGACAAGAAATGCCCATTTGGGGCTGGCCAACAGCTCAGCAGACAAGGACACTTAATACCACAAAGCCCAGTGACCTGAGTTAAGCAAACTCCCACAAGTTGTACCTTTGACCCTGCAGGTCCACCATGGTATATACACGACATACACACAAATCAGTGGTTTTGTTTTTTTTTTTAAAGGACGCCTCTTTGAAATCTGAGAATGCTTTTCATGTGAGAACGTACTCTATACATTCCAAAGTGTTTTAATTAAGCTAAATTAAATAGCATATATGAAGCCTGTTCTCTAGACAATTTGATTTCTTGGTAATTTAGTTGTCATGTATTTATCAAGTACTTGTTGAGTCTATATAGGCCCAGTACTGCACTAAGGACAGATGAACAGGGTATCTCAAGGTTTGGTGACCCTGTATTCTTGAGGCCAAGTAACAAACACACAGCTGAAGGTCAGGAGACTGCCCTGTGTGCAGAGATGAGACCAAACTCGTTTCTCAAGCCCCTTCCCTTTCTTTTTCTTCTTTGACTTCCTTCTTCAAGATTTTCTAAAAGTATTTTAAAATTTTATTTAATGTATATGAGTGTTCTGCCTGCATGGTATCCATAGAGATCAGAAGATGTTGGATCCCCTTGAACTGGAGTTAGGGATGGTTGTGAGCTACCTTGTAGGTGCTGCTAATCAAACCCAGGTCCTGTAGAAGAACAGCCAGTGCTCTTAACCTCTGAGCCATCTCTGCAGCCCCACTTCTGCATGGTTTTTAACAATTCACTGAAAGTCAGGGAGTATTTGGCGGCTTGGGGGCGTCAGTCACTAGTTTGAAGGCACCTTGAATAATGCCTACATCGTAGTTGTCAAGGTCCCAGCCTGTGAGCCTTGCCTCTTGCAGCAGAGTTAACGTAGATAACACTTGACTCAGCTTCCTCACCAGAGCTGGGTCCGGTAAGAACTCTTCAGTGCTAAAGTCAAAAAATACTAACTGCTTGAGATTCTCAAACGCATCCATGAAGGAAAGCCATCCGTCACTGCTCACGCGGTGTCCCGCCAAATCCAACTGCTGCAAGTGTCTCAGAGGCTTCATCTCCAAAAATTCACCTGGGTGAAGAAACATGTGTTAGTTGGAAGAAATCCTTATTTAAAATAAAATGAGTTCTGCACACACACATGTACACAGTGAGTAATTTTTCCATTTTAAAATGACGGGTGGTTAGACCAGTGCTATACCCTGTAAAGGAAGAACTCCTACAGGCATTCTGTGATTCCCTGTTATATTTACAAAGTCTTTTTTTTTTTTTTTTTTTTTCTCGAGACAGGGTTTCTCTGTGTAGCCAGGGCTGTCCTGGAACTCACTCTGTAGACCAGGCTGGCCTCAAACTCAGAGATCCATCTGCCTCTGCCTCCCAAGTGCTGGGATTAAAGGCGTGCGCCACCACTGCCCGGCCAAAGTCGTTTTCCTAATGTCTAAAAGCATCAGGGTTACAAGAGTACGGTAGGCAAAGGTAAATGCTGTATTTTACCTTACTCCTGATTCTTCTGGGAAATGGGACGTTGATGAAACATTGAGAGATGAGAAATGCTGTTAGATATCAAGGCGTGTTTGGTTTGGTTTCAGACCCCCGGGGCAGGGGACTGAGGTGCATGTCCCACATACCAAAGCAGACCTGGCCTCCAGGTTCTCCCAGCATCCCTCAGTCCCTACTTGGCATAGCCTGCCCCCAGCTTTGAACTTTCCAGCCTAGGGGCTGAGCTGCCCTTCCCTCAGAGGCTCCTCTCTATATAATCCAGACATTTTGGCCTGTAATCTCCTCTCTCTTCTCTCTCTCTCTGCTCCTGTTCCTCTTTCTCCCTCCCCTTCCCCCCCCCCATGGGGACTTTCCTAGCCTTGGTCTTTGGGACCAGTGAATTTGCCCTCCCAAGAGCAGCCTCCCAATAAAACTGTCTTTAACATAGTCTAATCTGGTTTAAATTGGCTCATTTCACTGGCGGTGAAGAAAAAAGCCTATCAGTTTTCAAAACTGGAACAAAATAATGCTAGGCCCTTTCATGTTTGTAGAAATAAAACTACTTAACAATTTTGGGTATCGGATATCCCTAGCTATAAACTTAAGTAAACAAAAGTCATTCAGTACCTAGACGGGGGTTTTGTTTGTATAAAGCCTTCCTGGAGGCTTCAGGGAGATAGATCTCCAATCTCTAAAAATAATCATTCCTAAAGTGCCTCCTGAGAGGAGGAGGTGGAGGTTCTGATCACAAAACGCAGCAGGCTTCTCATGCAGCAGGCTTCTCCATTGTCCACTCCTTATTTCCCTAAGCCCTGTGCAACTGCACTGGAATGAGAGGAATCCTGTTGTATGAGAAAAAAACAACAACAAAACCCCACCATACACACACGCCTGGTCGCAGTATTTGAGAGTCAGGGACAGAAAAGTGAATTCAAGGCCTGCCCAAGCTATTTAGAGAACCGTGTAGTAAATAGAAAGCAAGAAAGAAAAGGCATATTTTTCTTCTTTGTTGCTGTTGTTTTGAGACAAGGTTTTGCTAAATAGCTCAGGTTATCCTCAAACTCACTGTACTCCGCCTGCCTCAACCTCGAACAATGTTAGAAGCACAGACTTGAGTCAGCACAATCAGCCTCATCCTGCACTGGGCAGTGAGTGGTTTGTTAGACATTAAAATTGGGAGACAGGTGTTACAGAATGAAGGTTCAAAATTCAGTTTGGACTTTTTGTTTTTTTTAATTACTGTTTGTTCTGAAATAGGGTTTTTCCATGTAGCCCTGGCTGCCCTGGAACTCATTCTGTACACTAGGCTGACTGCAAACTCAGAGCTCCAGTACCTCTGCTTCCTGAGTGCTCGTATGAAAGATGGTACCACCATCACCTGGCTGCACTCTGGACTCTTAAGTAGGAAGAGATGCTCTCTGACAAAGCTGTACTGTCCACACAGACAAAACACCAGAGCTCTGAGATGGTGCAAGTCTCTGGTTCCAGAACTCTGGGAGGCTGAGGCAGGAGATAGCAAGTTCAGGACAGCCTAAAGTACACAGTGAGCGTTGTAGGATATCTGATCACAATGTGAACCCCCAGATTATGTTGTTTACTGAATACCAACTGTTTCTAGTTGTGATGCAGCTCAGCTTTAATCCCAATGAAGGTAAAGTTAGTCTGTAGAAGGAAGCACAGATGTTTGAAAGTAATGTCTAATTGAGTGGCAAAGTGATGAATCAGAGAAAGGTTTGATAGAAAAGGATATCCTCAACTCTCAGGAGAAGAGAGAAGAAAGGGATGCTACTGCAGAGAGAGAGAGAGAGAGAGAGAGAGAGAGAGAGAGAGAGAGAAATATTTACTGGGAGATTTTTACAGACATGGGTTGAAGAGCTATCAAACTAGATACAAGTGAAGATAGAATGGGAAGAAGCCAGAAGATTAGAATGGATTGCTAGAGTTCGTTTGAGATCAAGCAGAGCAGTTCAGGAGAGGCTGAAAGAGAGAACCCAGATTGAATCAGCTTGGAGAGGAATTTGAGTCAGACAGCTGAATTGAACCAGCCAGCCAGAACGACAAGAAAGGGTGAGCTTTTTCAGCAGTAAATCTCAGAGGCTGAAAACATTGTAGGTCTAGATAAGACTGTATGGTGGCTAGAAGCTTCCAGGTCTAGGCCTAGGTTAGCAGACAGAGGCAGTAAGCTTCTGAGACAACACTTATTTCAGAATAAAAGTTACATTTACACCCTGTCTCAACAAAACAAAAAACCCATAAACTCGTCAGGGCCCTGACAAAGGTCAGCAAACAAATAACAAAAGCTAATGCCATCTGTAATTAAGTCTGCAAAATAAGGATGATCGATCCTGTCTTAAACAGCCGTGTGGACTGAGGCTTACCCAGGTATACACTGAATGAGTAGACTCTTAGCCACTTTCAGGAAGCCTGTTGACCTGCTTAGCATTCCCTGTTAGCAACCAGGCATCTCTACCACCTGCCCCAGGGACTCAGCAACATCAGGATACATCATCACTAGCAGTCGAGATACAACACATCCCTACGGACGCCAGGAGTCGCAAGTCCTCCCCCTGCGCATGCGCTACCTTCCTTATTAAAGGCCAGTCCCTCCTGCTTTGCTCTCATCTGTATAGCCTCTGAATACCCCCTCCTCAGTATACCTCCCACGTGAGATCTGTCCCATGGTGTGACTTTGTTACATCCGTCACGTGGATCATAATATGCCTGCTCCGTGACGATGTCTGGGAATTAATTGGCAGATAGCATTTGTGTGGCTTGTGCGTTTGCTAAGGGTATGTATGTGACACAGCCGCACCCAGTGCTTGCTCCGGGGTATCTTCATCACCTTGGTGAGTTTAGTTTAGAAAGGTCCTTGATATCAGATGCCTGAAGCAAAGGTACTTTAGCTGGCTGTAATCGGGAGTAGTGGAGGAAGTGGGCGTTCCCAGTGAACACCTCCATTTCCCTATCTGTGCTACCTGCTGCTGAGACCATCCTTGGGCCTCTTTCCTATGTTTTACTTCCTTAGAAGACAAACTGCTAATCTAGAGTTGTGACCACTCATATCCCACATTCCTTTGCTGCTAAATGTATCTAAACTTTTGCCAAGGAAATAGAAGTGGAAGTAAAGAGCATGACTTCCGTGTCACTTTGAAAAGAATTAGTCCACAACTTGCTTTTCTTTTTTCTTTTGTCTCTTCCCACTTGGCTGAAATACCCACATGACAGTAACCTAGCTGTGACCATGAAGTTGAAAATAAATCTAGGGAATGAAGGGGTAAAAATAGCATCTGTCTTGAAAGGCTGCAGAGCACAGCTGCCCCCTCTGCTTAAACTGCACATCCGGGAACTACAGCATGGGAAGGAAGTTCTAGCCACTGTCAGCTGTGGTCCAGCCAGGCCTTCACTGATGCTTAGTCTGTGCCCAGGAACAGGCACAGTGTCGCTCATCTCCTGGTCCTCACCTCCCTTTCTCATAAGTCCCCCAGCCTTCACAACTCACCCTCCTATTTTGCCACCTCTGTTGTGATACCCTCCACATCAGGATTGCAAAATGCTTTGTTCTTATGGTTTGTTTCCAGTGTGTGGGCTTTCTCTCCAAAGAGCAACTTGTTTTCACTACCCAGGAGGAATTTAGAAACGTCAAAGGCTGGTCTGCTGTGTTTCTGTGGCTATCCATTTCAGTTTGAGGATCTTAGCTGAGCAAGAGTTTCCTGGGTGATTATCAGAATGGATGCAGGCACAGGAACAAAAAAAGAAAGTGACAGTTTTCATGGGCCAAGGATGTGCTTTCTGCTAATTGAATATGGATCAAACTAGATCCAACAGGAACAGAAACTTGTGCATTTGGGACATGGCCATCTGTGGGCTGTGGAGAATGCAGTCAGCTAAATCTCACCCGCTTTGGGTTAAACTTGTCTAATACTGCCTGCCCTTCAGGTCACCTGAGCCCGAGTCAGGTCACCTGGTGTTAATTCTCTGTGTGACCAAATCTAGATTCACGTGGCACTGGGGAGGGTGTTATCTTGACTGTGTTAACTGCGGTGGTGAAGCCTGCCCACTGTTGGTGGCATCATTCCCTGACTGGAGGTTGGAAGCAGAACAGCCTGCATACACTCATTGTTCTCTGTCCCCGATGGTGGATGTAGTGTGACCAGCATCCTCAAGCTCCTGCCCGTGAGTTCCCTACTGTGGTAGACTGGCACCCTGAAGTAGGCCCTAAGTAATAAACTGTGACACCGTTCATTTAGTCAGTAAACATTTGATTGTCTGCTGTGTACCACACACTCTGCATGGTCTCTGTCACTTTGGGTTTGTGTGAAGACTAATAGTTAGATGACAGGTAGGATACTATAGGAGGTGGACCAGGGGACCTGAGAGAAAGCACACAAAAGCAGTAGACGTTCCAAATCCACCTTGTCCCCAAGACACTAGTATTTGGTCTTACATTCTCCAGAAGGAAGACTAGAAGCTTCTCAGGAGAAACTCAATTGCATCCAAGAAGCAGAGCCACCTTGCATGCCTGGTTCCCACTCCAAATAATGAAGCTAATCAATTAAAAGTCAGCTGTGGGGCTGGAGCGATGGGCCTGTGTTCTGCACACACACTGCTCTTGCAGAGGACCCAGGATTTGGTTCCCAGCATCCACATGATGGCCAAGATCATCGAGAAGCCCAATACCAGGGGATTCAACTCTCTTCCAGCTTTATAAAAAAATAATGTACATTGGTGTTTTGCCTGCATGTATGTCTGTGCTAGTGTGTTAAAGCCCCTGGAGTTAGAGTTACAGTTGTGGTGCTAGGAATTGAACCTGGGTCCTTTGGAAGAGCAACCTTACTCTTAACCAGTGAGCTATCTCTCCAGTGACCCCCTCCTCCCCCCTTTCTGGTTTTATGGACACCGGGCACATGTGTGATTCACATACATATATGCAGGTAACACTCATATGCATAAAATAAAAAAAATTTAAAGTCGCCTTCTCCCTTAGACAAAGAGCTTTCTGTCAGCTTGCTCCTCACTCTAAAATAGGAAAAGGACAGCTACCTGAGAGCCGACTCCGACAGAGAAGACCAAGTTTCAACACTCACAGAAAAGGGACCAAAGATAAGGTCTGTTCCCTGCCACTGGAACAGAATACCACAGGCAGGGTAACTTACAACAAATGGAAATGTATTGACTCATGTCATGGTTGAGGAACTAACATCTGGCCAGGGCCTTCCTGCTGTTTGTCCTCGGGCAGGACAGGGGTGACAAAAGCAAGCAAGACCTCAGGCTCGAAGTCTCAAGCCTTCTGCAGTTTCCATTAATTGTGCATCGGAGTGGACCGATGATGTAAACTCCTGCTCTGAGTTCCCACTGTTAGGTCTCAAACCAGGACAAATGGTTAACTGAGGTTCCTAATATCAAAGCAGACCTGGCCACCAGGTTCTCCAGCATCCCTCAGGGCCTACCTGTTCCTGGGTATGGCTGGCATACTCCAACCCTTACCCTGAACTCCAGGTGGACTGCCCTTCCCTGTATAATCCAGCCAGCCACTTGGCTACTCTGGTCTGTTTTGTTTTTTGTAAGCTTCCTGACCTCTTGATCTCCTGGCTCCTCCTAGTCCCCGCCCCTTCTCTCCTCACAAGGCCCTGCTTAGAGTCAAGTTTACTCTGGACTCTCCCAGATGTCTCTGCCTCTGGCTCTGCTCACCCGTTTATGTACAATAAGGCTCTTCCAGCATACCTAGGGACAGTGGTGGCTTCCTTTTTCATTTCTTTTTTTTCTGTCCACTCACCTCCCAGCACTGCTGAACTAGAGCTTGTTTTATGCATGTGGGATTAGAAGACACATTCAAAATATAACATATAGCAATACAGGAAATAAGAAGGAAAACAAAAACCTTCAAAAAAATCATTGTTGCCAGTGATTAACATTCAATAGACAATAGATCCTAATACCTAAGAAAGAAGGCTCATGAGATGGCTCAGAGTAACCTCAGCCTCCTGAGGACTGAGATTAAAAGCCCAACTAAGCTTTGCTTAACGTCAGCCGGTATCCCCTTGGCTCTGTTTGAGTATACCTACCTAAACTTTTAATCTCTTTGTCTCCGAGTCTCCAGTTTTTCAATCCAAGTCTGGCAAGCCCTGGGGCCCCCTCCAATTGCTTCAACAGCTTGGGTAGGTTGACATACACATCCCAGCACCAAGGTAGCATCAATGTGGTTAGCTGTTCCAGAACACCAAGCCTGCCGACTTAAACAGAAAATGGTTCAGGACTGACGTCATCTCAGTCTAGCAGGATGCGGATGAAGAGTGTTCTTTATGTTTGCTGGCCCTGCAGGCTACTTAACCTTTAATGTGAGTCTTTATTTTACTTTTATAAAAGATATTCAAATATAGAAACACTGTAATATAATGAAATTCTTACTAATAATCCAACCTTCAATAGGCAACAAATCACGGGCTAAATGACTTAACCCTGACCCGATGTCTGTATTTTTCTGAAGTGAATCCCAGACATATGTCTGTCATTCTGTCGTAACCACATGCCATTATAGCACTTTAAAAATCTTATCGTTCTAGTGAAACTGAAAGAGGAAATAAGCCAGGTATGGTGGTGTACACATTCAATCTCAGCAGAAGCCAAGGGGATCTCTGAGTTCCAGGACAGTCTGGTCTACAGAGCTAGTTCCAGGACAGCCAGGGCTAAACAGAAACCCTGTCTCAGGAGGAAACAGAATGGCAAGGACCACCTGGGGAGAAATAGTCACCTCAGTTACCAGGTAAAGCAGCTGCTTGCAGTTAACCTGGTTTATAAAAAGAAAAATGTCTTAACCCCCACCCCACCCTTCTCTTTTCTTTGAGACAAATCTCTGGCTGGCCTGGAACTCCCTATGGAGACCAGGGTAGCCTCAGACTTATAGAGATCTGCCTGCCTATTTACTTGCTGGGACCAAAGGAGTACACCACCATTCCTGGCTTGGATTTCTTGTTTTTGTCTTTGCCATATGGCTTTGGTAGAAACTTAAGCCCACCGGTGATGTAACGGTTAAGACTGATGCTGGAAAGCCCATATCTCTGTACAGTTAGTTGCTCAGAGCCTTGAAGAGAACTCCACTAGGCCTGACACAGTGAGCCTTCCTGATCCTCTGCCTCATTTCTGATCCTGTTTGAGCATGGTCGCTTCCCTGCCTCATTTTCCTGTAACAAAATGATCAGAATAAAAATCTTTTTGATACCAACACTCAAGAGGCAGAGGCAGATGGATCTCTGTAATTTCAAGGACACCCTGTCTTCTTAGAGAGTTCCAAGCTGCAGAGTGAAACTTCTTTTTCAAAAAAAAAAAAAAAAGAATTAAAAAAAATCTCCAAATGTTTCACTCCTCTGAGAGAGCTCATACATAGTCCCTCGCTGCAGACAGCATACGAATACTGCAGTCCTTAGATAACTGAGTTGAAACCGGGTGGTGGTGGCGCACACCTTTAATCCCAGCACTTGGGAGGCAGAGGCAGGCGGATTTCTGAGTTCGAGGCCAGCCTGGTCTACAGAGTGAGTTCCAGGACTGCCAGGGCTACACAGAGAAACCCTGTCTCAAAATACAAAAACAAAAACAAACAAAAGAAAAAACATAACTGAGCTGATAAATATATGTGTAAACCCATCTTATGGGCCCGGGGCTAGAAAAGCCTCATTGCTTCCTCTTTAGCATCTTCAGCATCAAACGCTGGCTTCCTTGCTGTTGGCAGTGCAAACTGATGGCTCCAAAGACACACGCTTGGGCTTGGAAAAATGGTTCAACAGTTAAGACCATGTACTATCCTTGTAGAGAACCTGCGTTCCATACTCAGTATCCATGCAGTGACAGCATGCCTGTAACTCCAGATCCAGGAGACCCAATACTCTCTTCTGGCCTCTGCAGACCCCAACACTCATGTGTGCCTACCTCCCGCACATGAGTGTACACACACACACAAAGATAATTTTGTAGTGTATAAGTGTTTTGCCTGCATTTATGTATATGTACCCATATGCCTAGTACCCACAGAGGCCAGAAGAGGGCATCAGATTCCCTGGAACCAGAGTTACAAATATGCTGAGAACCAAGATCTGGTCCTTTGACGTAGCATAAAGTGCTCTTAATCACTAGCCCCAAACTAAGTAAATCATTAAAAAATACATGGGCCTATATTCTTTAAGGCAGTTAAAGATGAGCAAACATTTTTTTCTAAGATGCATCAGTAAGGTGTATACGGGTACAGAGGTTTGCTAACCACCCAGCACACATAGTAAAAAGCATGCTGTGTAGGCTGTTCTTCTTACTCAGTTCCTGGAGAGCTTCATTTCCATCCTTTTCCAGGTAATTTTCTGATATATCAAGAATGCTCAGCTTTACCAAATTGTGAAGATTCTGTGCTGAAAGAAAAACCAAACCAAAAGATTTTCAGGTAAGCATATACACATGTTCAGCCTCTTTAGAACTCTGTGCCCTTCTTTGCTGATGGCAATACACACTGTCATTTGACTTGATTGGTTGATTATTTCTCAGAAGAAATGGGATAGCTGGAAGCTCAGTTTCCATGGCAACAATTAAGTCTAGGGCACATAGAGCCTGAAGCTGCATGGAATATAGTCTTTGTAACAATAGACACAACATTGTAGCTTATTCTCTATTGACTCTGGCTTGTTGTTTGTTTGTTTACTTGCTTGTTTGTTTAAGACATGTCCCATTGTGTAGTCCCAGCTGGCTTTGAACTCTCAAACCCACAGAGATCCCCCTGCTCTGCCACCTTGGTCCTGGCACTGAGTTGCCCATTACCATACCTGGACATTTTGACACAGCTATTTGAAAAGTGACCAATTTCCCTGCCAGGCAGTAGTGGCTCACACCTTTAATTCCAGCATCATATCCCCAGGAACTGAAATCACAAATGGTCGTGAGCTGCTGGAATGGAACTCAAGTCCTTTGGAAGAACAGTCAGCGGTCTTAACTGCTGAGCCATCTCTCCAGTGCCCAAAGTCTAAATTTTAAGACATATCTGAACTGAACAGTTTATCCAAAAATATGCAAAATTTTCTCTATAATTGGTATGCTTAACATTTTGGAACTCAAACTCCATCTTAACAGAGCAAAGGGAAGAATAGAAGCCTGGTAACATTGAGGTAATCCTCCTTCTCCGTATTTTCTTTATCTACCCAAGAGATGATTAGACAGTATCACTACGACAAGAACAATGGAATTGTTTTTTTAAAATGTCTTACTTTTCACTTTCTCTTAAGGTTATAATATCTTCAACTATTATATAATACTCTTTTGTTGCCACTAATTAATTCTGATTCAGACAAAGCTCATTAAAAAAATGAGCTAGGTTAATCTCAGCACTTGGGAGGCAGAGGCAGGTGGATCTCTGAGCCTGGTCTACATAGTGAGTTCCAGGACAGCCAGAGAGGCATAGAGAAATCCTGTCTCGGGGGTGGGGGGGAAGATAGGGGGCTAGGCCAGATAATACATGCATCACTTTATCCTCTTCAGTGTCTCTTAAAAAATTAAATTTCACAAAAGACATTATGTACATTAGTGTAAGAACGTCAAGTATCCTGTTGTGCATGCAGAGCGTGGAGTCGGGAATTACTATGGTTACCTAGAGTTTTCACAGAATTTGTAGTCAGACAGCAGGACACCAACTTCATCTCTTGTAGCTCACAAGGTTCTTCTGAGAGAGACTTGACTATGTAATCCATCCCCTCCCCAATGTCAGACAAACGAGTCAAATGGAATAAATGCATCTTCTTCAGGTTTCGCAGGCCTTCCGCTACAAGAAGATGGGGAAGGAATACATGAGCAGACAGAGTTTATCTGGCTAAATACAGATTAGTGGAACTCAAGAAAGACATTCATGCTCTTTTTTCTTTAAGAATAATATACATATATTATTGTGTATATATATATATATGTATATAATAATATATATATGTATATATATAATATACATATACATATGTACATTTCTTTGTTCTCCAAGGAAGGAGCTTCTTGCTACTCAGCCCAGGCTGGCATTGAACCCACAAGCCTCCAACCACAGCTACCCTGCATCTAGATTCCAGACATCTTCTCTCCATAGACTCCTGCTACAAAGGCCAAAAGAGTTAGACCAAAAGAGCTAATTTTTTCTAACACCTCATGATCTTTACTTCCCTCAAGGGGCTGAGTTCAGAGGGACAGCAGGTGCTGCAGCGCTATGGAGGGCTAGTGCACCTGCACAGCCTCAGAGATCCTGCTTTGAACATCGTGACATAGGTTCGATGACTACTACACCCAGGGTGGTGTGTCCAGCCAGTATCAGTGTCCCCTTCTACCAGCAGTACAATTGAAGGCAACAGAGTGACCTTCATTCTTAGTCATGGGGTGGGCATGGAGTTTAGGATTGAGTAGGTGGAGCTTAAATCATCAATATACATCCTGAGTCAACGGGATACATTTAAGAAATACAAAGTGAATTTTGGCATCTCATCTGTCTCCTCCTCCTCCTCCTCCTTTTCTTCTTCCTCCTCTTCCTCCTCCTCCTTTTCCTCTTCCTGTTCCTCCTCCTCTTCTTCTTCCTCCTCCTCTTCCTCCTCTTTCTCCTCTTCTTCCTCCTCCTCTTCTTCCTTCTCCTCCACTTCTTTGGTGTTGGAGCTTTAACCCAGGCCCTGAGGATGCTCAGGCAAGTGTTCTACCATTGGGCTGCATCCCTCAGATCAGGGCTTTATCTATCCCCATGTTTTGAAGCTTAGGGTAAGCTGCAAATAGCATATGTGAGGCATTCAGTATGTGTAACACAGTAACCCTTCAGGGAATGCTATCTGACATAATGGGAGGTGTGTATGTGAGCTTTGTGGTCATTCAGACCTCTAGATTCACTGTCCTATAGTTGTATAAACTTGGACAAGTGAGTCAACTTTTCAGTTGTGGCTTTAGGGGATCAATAGTCTATATACTAGGGCTGTTTTGAGGTTTTGGTGAGGTAAAGTGTGAAAACTACATAGTGTAGTTGCTGACCTAGCGTACAGCAACTCTTTCCCACGCAGTAATTATTGTTCCATCATTATACTGACTTCTTCACAGTCAAATTTGATTCCTTATTTTTATCTTATTTTTACTTAAAAATATTTTATCCTATTTATTTGTGTGGGGGGAGCATGTAAGCCATGGCAGCGGATAATGACCCAGGACAAGTTGCAGGAGTCAATTCTCTTCTACCATGTAGGAGCTGGAAATTGAACCCAGGCATGGTATCGAGTGCCTTTAGCTTCTGAGGCATCTCATGGGCTCTCATTTTTGTTTATTTGGTTTTGTTTTGTTTTAAGACTGGGTCTTACTGTTAGGGTTCAAGGATCACTGAAGGAGGACCCCAGACTCAAATAGTATGCAAAAGCAAAGGGCGTTTATTCAGCTGAATTTCCTGCATGAAGGGGTCTCCCCACTTGGGACTAGAAACCTCTGGTAGACTCCCAGGCTCAGCTTTTATTGTCAGTTAGGGGAATCCAGTGAGGGGTATGTGCCTTTTTACCTTGATTGTAAGGATCAATTTACATTTTTTTTTTTTTACCTAGGATAGCCTTGAACTCACAGAGCTCCATCTGCCCTTGCCTCTGAGAGCTGGGAGTAAATGCATGTGCCACTAAGCCTGGCAGGTTTTGTTTTCATAGGAGTGCTCATTTAGCCCAGGCTTGTCTAGAACTTACTCTGTAACCAGGCTAGCCTCAAACTCCAGATCCTTCCACTTCCACCTCCCAGGAACAGAAAATACAAGAGTTTATTTGGCTACATTTAGATTTCTTAATAACAAAAGCACACTATCTGGAAGAGATCTCAGGCAAATCAGCAAACCTTTCTAGGAATTTGTGACTTTTCTGTAAAATGAATGCATTGAAGTAAATGTGTTCCAGCCCTTTCTAGCTCCAATATTCCCTAGAACTCATAGGTATGCAGTGTGTGCTGACTGAATTCTAAATTAACTTGATTAACCTATAAGGTCAGCCATATTTTATAGAGTTCATTTGGGAAGGAAGCAAAATGACAAATAGTGCTGAACAAAGAGAGATGCAGGTCAGGTAGGGCTCAGAAGGAAGAAAGAACAAAAAGGATGGAACTGAGGACAAGAAAAAGAAAGACAAGAAGCAGAGGCGTCACAGGAAGGTGGTTTCCCCTCAGCCCTCTCTGTATCTGAGGCCCCAGGCTCTGTGGCAACCCCTGAGTTCTGCTTGTGTCCTGGGCTCACAGTTCCCTGCCTCTTGTTCCTCTTTTAAAGTTTTGCCAATGAAACAACTCTGAACTTTTAAATCAGCCAGGGAAAGGAAAATGAGACATGTGATGACTTCCTCTCTCTCAAAAAAAAAAAAAAAAAAAAAAGTCACACACAAATGGGCTAAAGCTTGAGCAGAATTTTGCGAAGGCTTGTCCTGGGAGGGGGAGAGTGTCCCAAGAAACCAAAGTGGTCATAAGTTCATGAAGTAGATTGCTGGGGCTGGGGAGATGGCTCAGTGAGTGCACACAGCACATGCACAAAGACCTACGTTCAAGTCACTTAAAGTCAAGCATTTAGCTTGCGTCTCTAACCCTGGTGTTTCTGCAGTGGATGGGAGATGGGGACAAAGGAACCCCCAGGAGCCTGTGGGCCATCAAGCCACCATACAGAGTATAGCAAGAGACAAGAAAAAGACCCTGCCTCAAACAAGGTGGAAGGTGAGGACAGCTACCTCTGGCCTCCTGTCTTCGATGTTGTCTGTGGCTGGGAAGAGACCCCATGGCCAAGGCAACCCTTATAAAGGAAAGCCTTTAATTGGGGCCGCTTACAGTTTTGGAGGTTTAGTTCATTTTCATCATGGCAGGGAGCATGGCAGCACACAGTCAGACATGGTGCTGGAGTAGTTGAGATCTCTACATTCTGATCCACAGGGAGCAAGGAGAGAGGGAGACCAAGCCTGGGAAGGGCTTTGGGAACCTCAAAACCTACCCTCAGTAACACACTTCCTCCAACAAAGCCACACTTCCTGATCCTTCTAATCCTTTTGAATAGTTCCACTCCTCGGGAACTAAGCATTCAAATATATGAGCCATGGTGGTCATTCTTATTCAAACCACCACCCCTCCCCATGGGGACCATGCACATGCCCTGGCTACACACACATAAGGATCTTGCTGTCTACAGGTGCAGCCAAATAATCATAAGCCAACGATTCTTATCAGAAAACTTACAATAATAAGAGTATTTAAGAAACAAAAATCAGACCTAGGCTTTTAGCATCTTCCTCGTTCATCCTAATGTCGTCCAGTATGAGCTTCACGAGGTTCCTCAGATTCCCCAAGCTGTCAACCAGACCACCTGCCAATGGAAAGCAGATCAGCATGTCTTCACGTCCCGAATGCTGTCAATGGAACATCGGTTACCATCACTATCATTCCTATTACCCATCAGGTTTTAGTTATCACAAAGTGCAGGACATGCTCATGAGATTCACATAAAGGTGCTATTTGTGGGAAGCACGGCTTAGAACAGGCAGTGGAAACTGAGATAGTCAGTCACATGGGTCTATTTTCTTCCATGGAAGGAAATGGACAACGCCTGGTCATCTGGAGTGCTGGGGGGGGTGGGGGTGGGGGGAGTGCTCAATCCACCTGTGCTCTCTATGCTATTCTACAGCCTTCCTGGATCCCTGGATCCTGAGCATTGTTTAGACACTAATTCTGAGCTTTGTCTCAAGTGAATACAATCCTATAAAAGAGGCCAAATGTAAGAAAGAAACCAATAGAATCTACCTTTGTACTTGTCACGGATCCTTCTCTAGGCCCTATCCTTGAGGTCTGGTTATCAGCTAATGGAATTTATTCTTATTGTAAAGGTCATAGGTACAAGTTCTACTATGTCTGAATGTGTAAAGAAGATGAAGCTCGGGTCAGTCTCTGGATGTCTATATATAGTGACTGTACCAAGTTTTCTTTCTCATCTCCTTGAAGTTTGCTTTTTGGCTAGTGTTGATAAGTACAGAAAACCTTCCACGGTTATTTTGTCAAAAATGGGTCTTGTAGGCCCAGCAGGTTAAATGCATGGACTTCTCTTCCAGAGGACCCAGGTTCAATTCCTATCAATTCAATAGCTATCTGTAACCCCAAGATCTGACAACCTTACACAGACATACATGCAGGCAAAACACCAGTACATATAAAATAAAAATAAATAAATAAATTAAGGTGAAAAGATTCATTTAAAAGATGAGTATTGTACTCAGCTATAAGCATGTTGTTCAAACATAACAGAATTAAACACAAAAATAAGAGGTAACCAGATGTGATGCCCATGACTATAGTCCCAGCACTTGGAAGGCTAAAGCAAGAGGATTGCCTTGGGTGTGAGGCCAGCCTGGGCTACATATGAGACCATATTGAAAGAGGAACTGGAGAAGAGGAAAAGAGAGGAGAGAAGGAGATGGAAGTTGGGTGGGGAGGAGAAGAGAGAAGAAAGGAGAGAAGGAGAAAGAACAGAAGAGAGAGCAGAAGGGGAGCAGAGGGGAGGGGAGATAAAAAAAGAAAAAGTAAATCTTTGGCAGTTAAAAAGTCCCAGAGACCAATTGGGGGCAGGAACCACAGAGAGCCAAAGCAGCTGAAAGGATGAAGGACAGAAGAAATTCAGAGGGGATAAGCCAGGCTCTGTGGTACATCCAGGAAGTAAAATGTACTAGAGAAGTTACCAGAAGCCTCAGTGCCAACTAGCATTTGCACAGTGCCAGGCGGTCTTTACTGACTACGTTCTTCGGATGTACCGGTACCTGGCAGCCGTTGAGTGTGCAGGTGGTGAATGCTTAAGTTCTGGAGGTTTGTTACAGATGTGATGTGCTGCTCGTCATCCGAGGTGAGGGCACTAGCTTCCACCCTGAGGGAATGGAGGTTTTTGCAGGTTCTGAGGACTGCGCTGAACTTTCCAGCCACGGCAGCACATCTCTTTACACACAGCTGGAGATTGGTGCCAGAGCTGAAGATCTTCCCCAGATGTTTGATATCTTGTTTACTCAACTTGTTAATATCTCGGAGTGTGACCTCTAGAGTCTCGAATTCCTGCTTCCAGTTGAAGAACAAAGACACTGCCCTGCTGGGAATGTAGATTTCTGAGGCCCCTTCGGTGTGAACTCCAGGGCCATTCTCTCCTGCCTTGTCCTGTGACGCTGTAGCTCTTCCATAGAAATCCAGCCTCACGAAGGCCAGCGCTCTTGCACAATTAGGCAAGTATTCAAAGAAGTCAAATAAGTAGTCAGGGATGTTCTCCGAGTCGATGTATAAACTTTTACCTCGAAAAAAAGCTTCAAATTCTTGGCTCAGGGCTGATTTAGATATACTCTCCGAGAATAAATTGATGCCACACTCTACAAAGGAATTTACATTGATGGCTTTCAGAAGATCTTGCTCAGTGGTATTTCTCAGGTTTTGTATTGATTCCTGCCTCCAGAGAGGCCTCTTGGTGACAGAAAGTCCTTGTAGGCTGCCATGCTGATATACCATTGCAAGGTGCCTCATGACAGCCCTGGTTGCTTCTATGGATGACCCACAAGTATACAGGAGCAGATTGCCATACAGGGATGTGATGTCGGATATGGAAACCATTTTCTCTAAGTAGCTATTTCCCTTGCTCACCTCCTCTGGCTCTCTGGACATCAGCAAACTGCTGAGTCTCCGACCCGCTGTATACTCCTGAAATGATTTATGAAAAAATTTATACTTGGGCGTCAGCCTCTGGGCTGTGTACTTACAGAGGAGCCCAGTTGTCACCAGGATGTCCTCATTCATACTAGACAGATCCTCATGTTCAAAATCAAACTTGTGGGAGAACACACCTTCCAGGGCAAGGTCTCCACAGTAGTCTAGGTTCCTGACAAAATCACTTGAAGTTCCCCCTCTGTGTCTGTGCCTGTTTTTCTGTATCAGGAGGTCATAGAAGGTTTCAAACAGCATGGTTTGTGTTTGAGCTTTAAATTCCTTTCTGCCCATCTGGATTGCACAGGTGATCACCACGAAGAGAGGGGTCCTCATCAGATTTCTCAAGCACGTGGACTCCTGAATCTGGAACAGCAGGCTTTCAGCCAGCTCATTTATCAGCACTTCCTGGATGAGAAATTTGGCGCTGTCTTCGGTCATATCTCCCACCTCCACAGTCAGGGCGCCAACGTGTCTGATATGTCTCAGGCACTCTGTGGTGGTGGTGACAATGACTGTGTTTTTGAAACGATGGTTTTCCTTTATTAGGGCCTCAATTTCTGGGCAGTTCCGGGGATGGAATTCGTTGTAACCATCAAGGAGGAAGAGGACCTCCTTGTGTAGCGTCCCCAGCAGAGCCATGAAGGTTGGCTTGCTGATGAAGTCAGGTAAGTTCAAGAGCTGATCACACAATGTTTCAAATAGTCCACCCATGGCACTGCTCAGGCGGATGAAGAAGACCAATTTGAACCGATTCAGAGCCGTGCACTCCCCAGACGCCCAGAGCATGGCAATTCTCTGCAGCAAGGTGGACTTCCCTTTGCCAGACTCCCCTTCAATTAGGCAGGGGCTCTCAAGAGCCTCCAGCAGGCTGCCCAAAGTCAGCTGCTCCACACGGTGATGACGATGGTCCTTCTTCCACAAGACAGGTTCTGTGAAGGTGATCTTCAGATTAAAAATGATGTCGATATCGTTACCCAGGGGAAAGAAGTTCAGAAAAGCAGGGCTTTGGTATAGGTATTTTAAATTCTGGGCCAAAACATTCAAGTTTTCTTCTTTGTTCTGATAAAAAAGATCTGTTAGAGAAAATATGATGTTATAGAGGGCATGATTTGCATCTCGGAGCCCAAGGCTCAGGGGATGAATGGCAGAGATGCCAAGAATCAGCTGAGGGTCACTGACTTCTTTCCCTAGTTCTAAGATAGCAGCAAATACCCACTGATTGCCCCTGGCACCCTTCCCCTTGTTCCCTCTCTCTCTCTTTTTTTAAACTTTTTCTTTCCTTTTTCTTGCCATCACGGCACCTACAATTGGAAATGAGAGGAGCCTTCATTTTAATTAAATGAAGTTAAACTTCATTTAGTTAAAGAAAGTAAAAGATTTGGCTGAGAATGTGGGATGGGGTAAATTTCAGCCAATTATGCAATCTATTCACTTAAAATAAGTAAAATGAAAGCCGGGCAGTGGTGGTGCACACCTTTAACCCCAGCACTTGGGAGACAGAGGCAGGTGGATTTCTGAGTTTGAGGCCAGCCTGGTCTACAGAGTGAGCTCCAGGACAGCCAGGGCTATACAGTGAAACCCTGTCTCAACCCCCTCCCTCCAAAATAAGTAAAATGAGGAGTCAGAGGTATAGCTTGATGAGGAGGGAATTACTGTCATGTGTAAAGTAGAGTGATTAGCTTTCCACGGTACTGCACCATGAGGTAGGTATTCTGGGCCATTCACCCGCAGATGACCAGCCAAAGATGGTTGCCTTAGCCAATTTGTGTTCTAGTTAAACTTTTGTTTTGAGACATTACACATATTCCGGTCTGCTTCAACCTTCCCGTCTACTTGTCTGAGCCTCCCCAAAGCTCCCATAGTAGCCTATGCCTCCACACCTAGCATTCTGGTTGTATTTTAAGTGAGACTCTATTTCCTCATTTCTTGCCCAGCTCTGAGGTTACTTATATGGTTTCGCTGTCAAGTGTCTACTGGGAATGACTCAAAGATCCTGGCCAGTAACACAGAGATGGAGGTCAAGTTCTATGAAAGAGACTATGGATGTTCTTAATGGTTTATTCCTTTTGGTGGGACAGAGGTGAGCAAGGCAATACTTACTTTGTCCAGTTAAGTCCTGATACACAAAATAGTTCCAGTTTTCAAGACTCTTAAGAAAAAGGTTGCAGGCAGCCGAGCCCTTCTGCAAAATCATGTGGATGATCTTCCGCGCGGCTTCCTGCTCCAGTGGCTCACAGAAAATGATGGCAGCTTCTTCATTGTTGAGAACGTTCAATGCAAATAGGTCATCACAGATTTGCCTTGTAACTACTATGCCCATCCTTTGAATAAGGGCTTGGCTGTTGTACTTTAAAAAGTCCACTGAAGAGATGGGGGTAAATATTTGTTTATTTGTTCATTTATTTATTTTATTCTACATGAAATAAACGTATCTGTCACCAGTGCATCAGAACTGTGTATTCTCCCTCCTGGCTCGTCTTGAACTGTGGGGATATCAGATGGTCTACATTCAGGCCCTCAAGAAGTAGTTGCAAAACTCTATAGTCATAACTTCAGTCCGTGAGCAAGTTGGTTTTGCTTTGGTGATGAAGTAAGGTGGGTAATTCTGTCCACTGATATGAGCCTCAAGCAAGTACCAGGTTAGTGGCACCCACCTTTAATCCCAGACTCAGGAGGCAGAGGCAGGCAGATCTCTGTGAGTGTGAGGCCAGCCTGCTCTACAAAGTGAGTTCCAGGATAATCAGGGCTACATAGTGAGACCAGAAGAAAGGAGAAGGGGGACCAGGAGGGGAAGGAGGAAGGAGGAAGGAGGAAGGAGGAAGGAGAAGGAGGAGGCCGAGGGAGAGAAAGATTTTGAACTAATGAATAGCCCTATCCTCCAAGCATAAGAGCCATTACCATCCTGCTCAGAGCAAGAGACCGTCACACTATTGTACCTGTCCACACTCACCCTTAGAAGGAAGAGTTTGGGGAGAATCATGAGGCCCTTGGCCTGAGAGTCCAGCTACCCTCTCTCTATGTCTCTCTCCCAGCCATCCTGCCTCAACCTCACACTGACTTGGGAAGTGCTAGGCTAGAGAGTGGAAGGTTAACTAGAGGGGGACTCTATCTATATATACACAAGGAATTGTCATCCATGCTGATACAGGGCTTGGCAGAGATGTGGGTGCCTTGGGGTTACCACTTACCTGGACTCTGACAAGTAAGATCAACAAGCCGACTAGTTCAACAAACTAAATAGACTTTAGTCTCTCATCGTAGTTCTTTGTGGAGTGGCTGGATGTCTGTTAACATTTGCCCCAGGTAAAGTCAATGTAACAGTATAGAATCTGCCGATTGTTAGTGTCTGTAACCTTTGGCAACTCTCTTTGAATCGGTTAGAACTGCCAACTATAGAGCAGACTGGCTTTCTGGGGAAAGATTATCTCTTTTGAGGCAATTACTGAGCCCCATAAGGGATTCAGTATTTCCACCAGGACCAATTTCAAGATAACCATATATGGTGACTGGCTAACAAAAATCTGAAAACCCAACATTTCACCAGTGAGAACCAACTAGGAAACATACTCGGTGAGACCTTGGGAGCTGTTAGGGGAATTTGTGTAGAGCATTGGATACAAAGTAACGAATGCTCAACACGCTGGCTACAATGCTCACTTCTTGACTTCCTGCCACAACTCAAAGGAATAGGTGTTTTAGTTCTTACTAGCTTTAGTCTTTTCTGGAAAAGATCACTACGAAGTAGTACACAGTATTCAGTCTAAGCTCTCTCATTTTTCCTAGTCTCTAGAGAGGTTATGCCATTTTCTTTGTGTCTTCCCCTATAATGCTTTAATCTACTTTGGGGTTTGATTTGGTTTGGTTTAGCAGTACTCGGGATTGACCTATAACCTCATGCATTGGAGGCAAACTCCCTACCACTGAACTGCAGCCCTAATTCTGCAACTAATTCTCAATTACAGACAAAACTATGCCCAGGTATGCAGCACACCATCTCTGTGACATCAGAGGCCACTCTCCCTGTCTTAGACTCTTAGTCTGCAAGTTTTCTTTGTACTATAGGCTTTCCCTGCCTTTTACATGTTTCATGACTGGAGATTGAAAAGTGAAGATGTTTCTTCCAAAGGCTCCTAGACCTCTTCAGTCTGAAATGTACTCAGGCAGCCCAACCCTCAGGTCTCACTCCTGCCCCGGCCTCTGTCACCATTGCAGATCCACGATGCTAACCTCAGAGAACTGCTGTCCACACTTGTCTGCAAGTCCTGTGAGAGAGCCCATTGTTCTCCCCGTTAGTCTCAATCATATCTGTGGCTTCTGCATCATTCCTATGAAGATAACTATGTCGATGTTTATCCACAATCTTCATTTTATGCCAAAAGATACATAAGTCTCTGAAAGGCCTGCTGCAGTCTTTTGCCCATTCGTATGGACTGCCTCTGAGGCTAGGTATCTTCCCACTTTAAAATGAAGATACCAAGTTCTCTTAGTACTAAAAAGGTTTGTGACATTGAAAAGAGATGTGCTTGGTGTGGTGGCACATGCCTTTAATACCAGCACTTAGCAGGCAGAGGCTAGCCTGGTCTACATAGTGAGTTCCAGGATAGATAGAAACACATAGAAGGACCTTTCTCGAAGAAGAAAAGTAAGATGTATGAACCATATGTGTGTATGTGTGTTTAAAAAGTACACTGTACAACCATATGTATACTGTGATATTCTATATATAAGATAATCTTATTACTAGCTATGTATTATATACTATACAACTAGATGTATACTATGATATTCTTTTTATTAATACCATGATTTTTAAGATTTATTTATTTATTTATTTATTTATTTATTTATTTATTTATTTGAGTACACTGTTACTATCTTCAGATACACCAGAAGAGGGCATCAGATCCCATTACAGATGGTTGTGAGCCACCATGTGGTTGCTGGGAATTGAACTCAGGACCTCTGGAAGAGCAGTCAGTGCTCTTAACCACTGAGCCATCTCTCCAGCCCCCATGATATTCTATGTATAAGATAATCTTATTACTAGTTACGGATCACCTCCACTGTATACAACTTAATCATGAAGCTGTGAGGCTAACCATGCTGTAACTAGTGGACGGATAGTTGTTTCAATGCTATGTAACTAAAAATGTTCTTTTATTTATTCATTTATTTTTGCGAGAGTTTCTCTATGTAGCCCTGGCTATCCTGGAGGTCTGTATGTAGACCAGGCTGGCTTTCAACTCACACAGCTCCTCCTACCTCTGCTTTACAAGTGCTGGAACTTAAGGTGTGTATCACCATGCCTGGCAAAATGTTGTTCTTTTTTTTTTTTTTTTTTTTTCGAGACAGGGTTTCTCTGTGTAGCCAGGGCTGTCCTGGAACTCACTCTGTAGACCAGGCTGGCCTCAAACTCAGAGATCCATCTGCCTCTGCCTCCCAAGTGCTGGGATTAAAGGCATGCACCACCACTGCCCGGCCAAAATGTTGTTCTTAATGCATGGGGACAATCATGATCCTTTTTGATCACACATGAAAGCCTGTTCATTAATTATTCATTTTTTCAGAATATCTAGATTAGCACTTCACAGTGGACCATTGTGCAGTGGCAGCCATATTCTTGTTTGCATTTTTCAATGTGAGAGCTATTTGCCATGTGTGGCTTGTGAGGGCCATTAGCTAGAGATAGTTTGTGAGAACCATTGCCTACAGATAGTTTATGAGAGCCACTAGCCATGAATAGCTTCTGAGCACTTGACATGTGATAAGAATCACTGTGTAAGTGGATTCTGCTTGGGTTCATTGTTGTTGTTTGTTTAAGGATCTTGTTATACATGGCAGGCTGACCCATGATCCCACTTCTTCAGGTCCCAGGTGCTGAGACCTTAGGTATGTAATACTATGCTCTCGTGTGCAATTGAGTTTTATATTAAATTAAATTTTAAGCTTAAATTCACAGTTAAATACCCATGAGTGGGGAGTGGCTACTACACTGGATAGCACAGGTCAGCACTGATGTCAAAATGGAAACAGAATGACTTGGGAGCTTCAGAAGCATTTAGGTCTGTGCCATTTCTCTGAAGTGGTTGCGTATAGTTTTCTGAAATCTAGATGCAAGACTATGACTGAACAGGTGATGCCCAGAGTGAACAGGTAAAGTATAACCTGGTGACTCTTAGTATCTAAGTCTTACCCCATCTGTCACCTGCTTTTCTCCATAGGCTTGCCATATTTTTTTAAAACCAATTCTCAAGACAATATAGAGTGATTAATTGAGAATCCCACAGATAATTAATCAGATGGAAGCATGAATAGCTTTTCCATTTAATGCCATCAGTGTATTATCAATAATCTTATAATAGCATTGATAAACTAGACAGATGCTGTTTATTGAATACTTACTTGTGGTGAGTCAAAGTGGCCCACTTTTCTAGATCTCAGTAGAAGATATTTCTTTTCCAAACGGGAAGACCAAAGCCGAACATACTGTCGTCCTCTTCTTGTGGGAAGGCTACCCTAAGAACCTAACAAAACGGAAACAAAGACTGGAGTTGCTTATCATCAGGGCAGTGCTGCTTTTCTAGATGAAGAACGACACCCGAACTATGCAAAACTTGCTCAGGGTCTGGAGAGATTGCTTAGTGGCTGAAGTGCTTCTTGTGGAAGCGTGAGGACCTGATTTCTTATCCCCAGCACCCATGTAAAAATCTGACCCTAGTATAGAGGGTAGGTAGAGATGGGCTCACTGGCTGCCAGTTTCACTAGTTAACCCGTGGTACCAGGTTTAGTGAAAACCCTGACGGGAACAAAAAGACAGAGAGTAATTGAGGAAGACACCTGACATGACCTCTGGTTTTACATGTGTATACATACACACACGCACACGCACACTCGAGTGCATGTACCCCTCCCCCAGATGTCTCGGCCCCTTGCCTGGAGTTGTAGATTGTGAACAGGCAGAATTTCACAAATTCCTCAGTTGCTTCTCATTGATGACAATTAAGCTAAGAAGACAAATTAGATTTAAACATCAAAAGGTGAAGCCAGATCTACTGCGTTCTCACCAGGAAGTTAAAAGAAAAGAGCATTTGTAGACAGAGAAAGTGGCATAAGGAAAGAGCTCTGAGAGAAAGAGCTAGAAATCAGGATAGGGAGAACAAGCAAAGGTCAGGTTTGTTGTTAGGATTGGGCTCAGATCCCAGATCTGAGTCTGAGATAAATAAGGAGAAAAAGCCACTGCAGAGAATGGACTCTTGCATCTCTGTGCTGGTTGAAATAAGAATGGCCCCCATAGGCTCATATATTTAAATGCTTAGTCATCAGGGAGTGGAACCCTTTGAAAGGATTAGGAGGTGTGGCCTTGTGGGAGCAAGTATGGCCTTGTTGGAGGAAGTGCTTTACTGGATGAAGGCTTTGACGGTTAAAAACTCATTGTCTTCTCTCTTCTCTCAGTCTGTGTACTGGGCACTATCCAAGGGGATTTGTGGGGCTCTGGCCCAGCCAGAGTGGCCAGATAGTTACAGCTCTCTGAGGGGGAGCTGGAGCAAGTCAGGCTTCCGGGCCTCTTGAGTGGAAGTATGCTGCAGGCTAGAGCAGCTTCCAGCAACGAAATCATCGGGAGCAAATATGCTTCATTTAGGGTGTTACAACCTGATAAAACAGGCACTCTCAGAGTCTTTATCGAAATAACTTGTGTGTTTTATTCCTTGTGGACAGGATCTTATATACACTTGGGGGTGGGTTGGGGTCTAAGAACAGATGCTTTCTATTAGGGATGCTTCATCTGCATGTGGAAGGGCTTCAGGTGCTGCCCTTATGTGACTGATTCTCACAGTCTTCCCCATGGGGTGTCGTTGTCATGTATTCCAGGACAGAAACATGGTCAGGAGAAGATTTAAATGCTAACCGTTCTCAATTATGAGAATTTCTGGGGTTCCTGAATCCACTTGACCTTACCAGGTTTTCTGCCTGGTGTTGTGGTCCACTGCCCCATACTTCTCCCACTGCCTGCTGATCCAGAGGTGGAACTCTCAGTTATTTCTCCAGCACCATGTCTGCCTGCATGCTGTCATGATGATAATGAACTGAATCTCTGAAAGTGTAAGCCAGCCCTGACTAACACCTTTCGTTTATAAGATTTGCTGTGGTCATGGTGTCTCTTCCTAACAGTAGAACAGTGACTAAGACAATATCTTTCCTTCTTAAAAGAGGAAAGAATCAATCCTCCACTGGCTGGGTCAGAGTTGAAGTAAGAATAGAAAAAAAAAGAGGAAGGAAGCAGATAAGAAACCATAAAATTCCCTCCATTGTGTCAGTGGAATGGGTCATCTGCTTGCTGGTCTACTAAAGTAATCAACTAAAACCTCTGAACAAATCACCAGGAAAGTATGCTTAGAATTTGAATCAGGTTTAGCTACTGGAAATATTGTTCTTACCAACAGAATGACAGCAAAGAACCACATCAGAGTCAAATAATTAATTATTAATTGCTTTGAAAATAAAAATAAAATAGCCTGGATCTCATGTGCCCTGAGTTACCCACTGGGCTGAGGGTATGCTGGAGAGGTGACTCAGCGGCTAAGAACACTTACTGCTTCTGTGGAGGGCCTGGGATTAATTCCAACACCACTCATATCTGAAACTGCAGTTACAAGGGATCCTTCTAGCCCCATAGAATATCAGGCGTGCACAGGATATACATAAAGACAAGCAGGCAAAACACTTGAAATAAAAAGAAATAAATCTTATAAGAGATGGGCTGTGAGAGGAAGCCTGGTAAGGTTGAGCTAAGGTTAGAAGCCTCAGAGACCCTGAAGGGACGGTAGGAGCTTTGCCTGCTCCTAGAACCAGGCCCCTGTCACGTAGCCACAGCCCCCCCCACCCCACCCCCTCTAGATAGGTTTGTGGCCATCAGTCATGTAGGGGCAGCAACCAAAGCCCTCCCACGTGTAGATAAGGTATCCCCAACCGCTCAGACCAAGCCAATAGGAAGCACCTACTGTCAGACCCTGACCCACCCAAAACTGTATATAAGAATCCTTTCCAGAAGGAATAAAGGTGTGCGAGAATTACTCCATTGTTTGAGAACTGTCATAAGAGTTGTAACCAGGGAAGAGACCTGCTCTTCCGAAATGCCACCAGAAGCTCCTCCGAACCCCTTGCTGGCTAGTCAGCCTCCCGCCAGCTCAGCCTGACTGAGCACAGAGCATCCTGTGCAGCATCTTGGAACAACAGAAGCAGCAGAGGTGGAGGTGGAGGCAGGTGCAGCAACGGAGGCGGAGGCGGCAGAGGCAATTACCCCTCCCTGTTCTCGTTCTCTCCCCTTCGCCTGAACCCTCACAACTGGCTATGCCAGAGATCTCCGTGGAAAGCCTCAGGGACACAGGTCCACAAGGGGGTGGAAAGATAGTAAGAGCCAGAGGATCAGGAGTTCGCTGTGAGATTGCATCTTCTAGTAACATCAGAAGCTATGCCCATAGAGTCACCAACATCACCTCCCAAACATGAACTGAACAAGGAGGACACCAACGAACATGACAAATTGCAACGTCGGAGGGGAGCTTGGGGCAGGGAGGGTTGGGAGGGAGGGGCAGGGGGGAGGGCCCATGAGTCCTCAATCCTACAGGAAGAACTACAGACAACCTGGTAAAACAGGGAGCCCTTCCTAGGGACAACCAGATGGTCCAGTGCCAAACAGTTAAGCCTGAAGATATATATACAAGTGACATACGGACTCAACAGGTTGTATTTGGGAATATAAATGTATAAGTACATATTTGCATGTGATACTGAAAGAGGAATTTTAAGTTAGTTAAATAGTATAACAGGAATACAAATAGTTAAAATTGCAGGTCAGCTAGCTTGCTAACCCAAGGCTGTTACAGGGAATGCAGAACAGGGAAACAAAGGTCAATTGAGTGTTCTGGGAACCCAGTCCCGTGGTGTCTAACTTAGCCTCCTCTGGAGAAACTCCCACCAGAGGTCCCAAGGACTTGCGAATTAAATTCAGCCAGATGGTCTGTTGGCTCAGATAAGCATTCACACTGGGTCCCAAGGCCACAGGGACCAGAGACTATTCTTGTGAGATTTGTCAAACCTCTGCCTGGGATCTGCTTACACACATTACAGACATTTGAAATAACCAATTGTGTGTGACTACGCCACATCCCTCTCCCTCCCCCCAGCCTTTGCGTATAAAAACCCTAAGCTATTAGGTCTTAGGGTCGATTACCTCTACCTCCTGTGTGAGGCATGTATCAACCCGAAGCTTCACATATTAAAGAGAACCTGACTTATGTTATTACAGCAAGCTGGTCTCAGGAGTGTCTTTGGGGTCACGTCATACCCGAGTCTATTTTTGGTTCTGGGGGGGTCTTTCAATATTAATTGATGAAAACAGAAGCCGTAAATTGAAAGGAGAGAGGGCAGGGAAAGGTATATGGCAGGGTTTATAGGGGAGAAACAGAAGGGGAAAATGCAATTAAAATATAACCTCAAAAATACATAAAGGAAAACCATATACTGCTTTGTCTTAGTTAGGGTTTTACTGCTGTGAACAGAAACCATGACCAAGGCAACTCTTATAAGGACAACATTTAATTGGGGCTTCTTACAGGTTCAGAGGTTCAATCCATTATCATCAAGGCAGGAACATGGCAGCATCCAGGCAGGTGTGGTGCAGGAGGAGCTGAAAGTTCTACATCTTTGTCTGAAGACCACTAGGAGAAGACTGGCTTCCAGACAGCTAGGATGAGGGTCTTAAAGCACATGCCCACAGACACACCTACTCCAACAGGGTCACAACTACTCCAACAAGGCCACACCTCCTAATAGTGTCACTCCCAGGGCCAAGCATATTCAAACCACCACACTGCTCTTATAGAGGACTTGAGTAGGGTTTCCAATACCCATGTTGGGCAACTCACAACTACCTTCATGAGTTTCTGCGCCCACCCACATGCATACATGTATACATACACACACACACCACATTAAAAATAATTTTTAGCCCCTCTTTCCTTTCTGCCACCGCCATGACATCCAGACTGAGGAAGACCCAGAAACTCCAGGGCCATGTAAGCCATGGCCATGGCCGCATCGGTAAGCACCCGGAGGCCGCAGGAATGCTGGAGGCATGCACTACCACAGGATCAACTTTGACAAATATCATCCAGGTTACTTTGGGAAAGTTGGTATGCGGCATTACCACTTGAAGAGGAACCAGAGCTTCTGCCCAGCTATCAGCCTGGATACATTATGGATGTTGGTCAGCGAGCAGACACTGGTCAACGCCGCCAAAAACAAGACTGGAGCTGCTACTGTCATTGCTGTTGTTCGATCAGGCTACTACAAAGTTCTGGGCAAGGGAAAGCTCTCTAAGCAAGCTGTCATTGTGAAGGCCGAACTCTTCAGCAGAAGAGCTGAAGAGAAGATTTAGGGTGTTAGAGGTGCCTGTGTTCTGGTGACTTAAAAGCCACTCCGGGGGTTAATCAAATGCTAACATTTTCCAAAATAATAATAACAATAATTTTTAAAAATAATTATCTTTAAAAAATCAAGAAAAAGTAGAATTGTGACCAGTTTGTCCATCTGGATTTAGAGTCATACTCTGAAAGTCTTCCTGCCCATCAAAAATACCTGAATTGTGTGGAAGAGATCCTTTTCTTATGTTTGTACCTTGGCAGAAAATATTTTCTTTCTTATTTGAAACAAGGTCATACAACATAGCCACGTCTGGCCTGGGACTCACTTTATAGCTCAGTCTAGTCTCCGACTCATGGTAATCCTCTGGCCTCATCCTTCTCAGTGTTAAGGTTACTGTTATGAGCTACCATATCCAGCTTAAATGATAATGTTCTTTCAAATCCTGAAATGAATTCCTCAGAAACCTGAAATCCCTATTGACCCATGACTAGGGAGTGACTCCCGCAACTTGGGGAAAAGAACTCACGTGAATGGCTGCACGTGGAACTGGCGTATGGACTCAGATTTGGCATTGCAGACTTCAGACTAGATGGCTACTTCCAGATGTGTTACTTGACCCTCTGGTAAACTTTTTGTTAACATTGGCTAATTGGTGTGTGTGTGTGTGTGTGTGTGTGTGTGCTTGAGAGTGCCACAGCATTTGGGTAAAGATTAGAGGAAAACTGCCAAAAGTCAATTCTCTCCTGGAATAGTCTACGTGTCCCAGGGATCAAACTCTGGTCAACAGGCTTGGTGACAAGTGCCCCTATCCCCTGAGCACCTCCCCAGCATCTGGATTATGCTATCTTTACTGAAGTATTAGTACTCACATCTGCTCCAAGCCTGGGGCTGTATCAATGGTTAAACAGGAAAACAGATGGAACAGAGGCCATCAGTCCCTGTGATTCATCTATCATTCCAGTATAAAGATGCCCTAATCTAGGATGTTCTTAGATCTCCTCTGGACTCCAGCAGGTCACTGAGTACTGTTAATGGTATCAAATAATGTACGAAGTTGTCTAGAGGCACAAGACGGAGTAATGGGGGCCTAGAAGAATAAAAAAGGTTAAGGGACGTTAGGAGAGCCACATTCCACCTCTACACTGGGGTTACTAAGATGCTCTGAGATAAGGACTGGACACACCTTATCACAAAATGAAGTCCGTAAAGCACTTCCTATACACACTAGGCCTGGAAACACCTTATCACAAAATGAAGTCCGTAAAGCACTTCCTATATACACTAGGGCTGAACACACCTTATCACAAAATGAAGTCCGTAAAGCACTTCCTATACACACTAGGGCTGGAAACACCTCATCACACAACATGGTCTGTAATGAGCTTCCTGTAACCATTGGCCCACAAAGAAGGATTTTCTTAACATTTCTGTCCAAGTTCAAGTGTCTTGTAGAAGCTCAGGAGACTAGATGGGCCAAGCAGTGTCCTTCTCCCTCAGCTCTGGGTTTCCTTTCTGTAAGGTCAAAAAACACTTTCCAGGTCTTTTTGTCTCATTGTAAATACAAAGGCATTCTCTAAGGCTCCAAATACTTTCACACCAACTCAGAAAAACTGAGCTAAACTCCAACAGACCAGGTTAACCCCCACCCCCGACACTGCCTACCCTCAAACCCAAGTTTCCCTTCCGACAAATCAGCCCAATAGGCAAACCATCCACTGCAGGAAAACCTCACAGACACAGGTCTCAATGGACCTAAACTCAAATTTCAATATTTGTCACTAAAAATGATTTAAAACCCATTCCCTCTCCCTGAGGTACCTGGTAAGCAATCTAGTTGCCTTCGAAGGAAAAGTCATCTTAAAAGTAAGTTTTTTTCTTTCTTAAGCCAAACTTCTCTGTTCATGAGCGACAACTGTAGAAAACAGGAAGTGCCCAGTGGATTTTTCTCTTGCTTACGAACCGTAATAATTGTGATTTCGTAACATATACTAGCAAGAAAAGGGAGTGCTGGGGTAGCCAGGAAGTAGGGACTTTGAACTTAGGCACTCTTTGCTTCCTGGTTATTCATATGGTAAAGGTTTAACAACTGTTTATTTCTCCAAGCAAAGGAGATGAGAAAGCTTTATTAGTGCCAATCATGAATAACAAGGACAAGGAAGACAGGGTTCTCAAAGTTCCAAAGTTGTAACTACTTCATGAAGGTTGTGTGTGTACGCGCGCGTGTGTGTGTGTGTGTGTGTGTGTGTGTGTGTGTGTGTGTGTTCTCACGCACGCGCCCTGGTACTTCCAATGCAGATCAGGCTAGTTTGGAACCCACAGAGACCCACCTGACTGCCTCCTGAGTGCTTAGGCACATCACTACTTAGTTTCAGGAAGCTTTTATATTAACAAAACAGAAAAAGTCATCCATCAACATAGTTTCAAATACATTGGTGGAAACATTGGGTAGGCAGGTTGCAGCAAAGAAAAGAAAGCCTTGGTAAAAACTTCAGATCTGAGGCCATTTTAGCACCTAGGTTGAGTTGGTACCCAGTTTTGTTAGTAAATATATCCCAAAGGTTTTGCTCTTAGGTCAGACCCAGAAGTGGGTAATAAGAACGTTCTAGTCAGTTGATCAGCTTCTGTCTGGAACCTTTAGTTCTTGTGTTTTAGACATTCAGTATAGTTTTTGCTTGTCTTGTCTTATCTTTTCTTTGTCTTCTAATCCTCCTGCCTCTGCGTTCTAAGTGTTAAGATTACAGGCATGAGCCACATGCCTCACACTGTTTTTTCATGATGAATGGGGATTGAGAGGTGGACAGGAAAACAATGGAAAGTGAGATGGTCTGGTTCGGTTGACTCAAGCATACTGTCACTGAGGACAAAGGCAAACAAACTTATCTTTGTACCTAGGTTTCCAGCAAAGCTGAACTCTCAGTCACTGGGGTCATGGCAAGTTAGCCCAGGCTAGTCAGGTATCCACACTATTGATATTGCACGAGATTCTCCTGAACACACAGAGCCAGAGACTCGAACTAGCACACATGTACTCAACATCACTGAATACACCAGATAGCTAAGGAATAGTCAGCTTGAAACAGAGAAGTCTCTGCTCTTCTGTCAATAGCAGTCTTGCGTACTCTTTCCTCTGCCTTTGCACAAATTGCTGGAGACTGGATTTTTTTTTTTTTTAATGTTACATAACTACTTGTTTCAAAAAGAGTGAACTGGGCATGGTCGCACACACCTTTAACAGTGGCATTCTAGAGAAGAGGCAGGCAGATCTCTGTGAGTTCAAAGCCAGCCTGGTGTACATAGTGCTTTCCAAGACAGCAGACCCACATAGTAGAAAGATTCTGTCTCAGAAACAGACAAACAAAACCAAAAATCCCCAATTAGGTGGCCATGTAGGTGTGTCCAATGTGAGAATCCATACTTTAGCCGAGGGGTTTTCAACCTATGGGTCATGACCCTTTTATGGAAGTTACACATTAGATAGCCTACATATAAGAGATTACATTACAATCCATAACAGTAGCAAAATTACAGTTATGAAGTAGCAACCAAAATAATTTTATCGTTGGGGGGTCACTACAACATGAGGGTCACAGACATAGGGAGGCTGAGAAGCACTGTGCTAGCTTTTGTAGTTGAGCGTCAGGGGCGTTTTCAAGTGAAGGATTGCTCTGTCAGCTGAACTCTTTGGTTTTTAAAAGCTCTTTGTGTACGTATAATCGCTGTGTGTGTACACGTGTGTGCATGTTCAGGTGTGTGGGTGAGGGAGCCCTCATGTCACAGAATGCACGTGGAAGTCAGAGGACAATCACAGCTGTCAGTTTTTGCTTCCACCTCATTTGAGGCAGGGCCTGTGTTGTTTGATGCCGCCTAATGGAGGCTAACTGGCCCACAGGAGGAAGTCAGAGGTGTGAAACTGAATCGAGGTAAGCAGCCTTGTGGCAGCCATGGAATACTACGAGCAGGCTACTGTAAGTTAAGAGCCAGTTGAAGAACAAGCCTAGTTCAAGGCCTTGGGCATTTATAAATAAATGTAAAGGTCTCCATGTCATTATTCAAAGCAATGGCAGACATAGAAAAACCCTTTCTTACACACTGCCACACTTTTAAAGAGCATTCTTCCTTGGCTTCCTGTTTAGGCTGCTACTTTTGGGAATTGTCACAGAATCCTTCCATGTGCCTCTATCTCATTAATGCATCTGCAGCCATCATGGTCACAGCAAAGGTAGCTTCCTTGGTCTTTACAGTAATTGGGAGCATGGGTTGCGGCTTCCACAGGATTTCTGGGAACAGCACAGACCACGAACATGCCCCCAGCTGGTGTAGGCCCACTGGTCTAGAGGTCCAGGCTTCCCCTGGACCATGGACATCATCATGACCTCAGGTGGTAGCTCAGGCCACTCAGGTCAACATGGCCCCTGGTGGTAACATCGCCTATGGCCATCAAAATGGCTTCAGGCAGGAGCCCAGACCCCAGACAACCATATGGCCTTTGGTGGTAACATGAGCTACAGACATCAACACAGACCCTGGCTGCAGTAGGACCTTAGACTCAGATATGGCTCTTAGTGGCAGCAAGGACTCAGGTATTATCATAGCCTCAGGTGGTAGTGCAGGCCACTCCCATCAGCTGGTTCCCACCACCTTCAGGTGCCATGGAGTTTCCAGTTCCATTGCCCTCTATAGCACATGGACCACTGTGTTTTTCTGTCTTTCCCATCTCTCCATCACATATTTGTTCATCGTAGTAGTGTCCACTGTCCTCACCATGTAGGTGGGGCAGCTTGGCTTGATGGCACACACTTAATCCCAGCACTTGGGAGGCATAGGCTCACCTTGATTTTTGTGAGTTTGAGTTCAGCCTGGCCTGTCTAGTGGGACCCTGTCTCAGAGAGAAAGAGAGAGGAAGAAGACAAGGAGGAAGAAGAAGAGGAGGAGGAGATGGAGGTGTTGATTCCCTAACTGGTTCTTTATTTTGTCAATAACAAAGGCAGAAGCTAATTGCTGGGTGAAAGGAAAAATGTAGGACTTCTGGGTCCCAGGAGGAAGATAGAAGGGAGACACAGGGAGAAAGGAAGTGGCTTTGGACCAGGCTTTGGAACGAGAAGACACAACAACCATTTTAGAGCAACCAGAACTGGATGGCTGGACTAGGTTAGGTGATAAGTTTTGGGCTAGAGATGTCTGTGCCCCGCAATTGTGTTATCTGGCAAATTTCAAAATAATAAAGAGTTCTAGTGTTTTTCTTCTGCGGGGCTAAGTTAAACAGGAGAAAGAGCACAGCCAGGGCATTAGCTGCTGGCTTGGCAAAGCCAGCTGGGAAGAAGGGGCAAATTGGGAGTGAGGCCAGTGACAGCGTGATCTTGGAGCTAAATCCAGAGAGGTCGGAGCTCAGGCTGAGCTCCCAGGAAGGCTGCAACATGCGAAGAAGAAGGAGGAAGAGGAGAGGAGGGGAGGGAAGGAGACGGGGAGGGCAGGAGGAGGGGGAGGGAGAGGGAGAGGAAGAAGAGAAGGAAGAAAAGAAGAAGAAGAAGGAGAATGAGAATGAGAAGGAGAAGAAGAAGAGGGAGAAGAAGAAGTTTCAGATAAAGAGGGAGGGGGATAATAGGTAGGAATGTAGGTAATTCTGATTAACATACATTATGAATTAAATTAAATAACTAGTAATGCAGAGATTCATGACTAGTCAAGGTGCTGAGACATGTGACTATATAGTGATATAGAGTACTCAGCCTGAACTTGGTTTATCTATATCACCCCTCCAAGGCTCAGGGAACATCACACAAGAGAGCTTGGGCAAGAGTGTAAGAGCTAGAGGGTGGGAAGGGGTGATGTGAAATGCTGTCTTCTGGACATAGAGTGGCTCAGAGCAGCAGTGTCACCGATACAAGACTGAGCTCATCAGCATCCGTCGTGGCTCCACCCCTCCCTGAGGAGCTATAGGCTTAATGGTTGCTGGGGAAGAGGAGCCATATTCTCCAATGGTGTAGCCACTGGCAATTGCTCTTTCTCAAGAAATAAACTCCCTGCCCCACACACTCAGACAACCCTCATTAAATGTAATGGGCCAACAAAACACAATAAAAACGTATCATGAAAATAGAGGACTTTGACGAAACAGGGAAGGGAATAAGATAAGGGGAGCTGGAGATATGTTCAGTGATAAGGCCACAGGCTATTGTTGCTGAGGACCCAGGTTTCATTCACAGTACCCACATGAACCCTCACAATCTCCAGTAACTCTGGTTGCAGATCTGGCACCTTCTTCAGGTCTCTGCAGGCACTGCATGAGCATGGAGCAGAGACACATATCCACAGTAAACACCTACATACATAAAATAAAAATAAGACTCCTGGGGGCTGGAGAGGTGGCTCAGCGGTTAAGAGCACTGTCTGCTCTTCAGAGGTCCTGAGTTCATTTCCCAGCAACCACATGGTGGCTCACAACCGTCTGTAATGGGATCCGATGCCCTCTTCTGGTGTGTCTGAAGAGAGCAATGGTGTACTCATATACAAAAGATAAATAAATCATAAAATAAAAATAAATTTATAAAATAATGAAATACTAATAAACACTTTCAAAAGCTTTTTGCTATAGCTTCACCTATCATGAACAAACGCCAGCCATATAACTCACCTTAAAAATAAAGAGAGAAGGTAGTGGGGGAAACTATAAACAAAGTACAATATATATATGTATATATGCATGCATTATGTAATTGTGAAAGAATTATTTTTTCAGGTTTATTTATTTTATTTTATATATCAGAATGTTTTGCTTACATGTATGTTTATACACCACATGCATGCCTGGTACCACTAGAGGTCAGAGGAGAGCATTGGATACCCTGGATCTGGAGTTATGGATTGCTGCGAGCCACCTGACGTGTCCTGGGAACTGAGCCCAGGGATTCTACAAGAACAAGTACTCTTAACTAT